GAATTGAAAGACTGCGGCCTTGGCACCCAAACTGATGGGCACTTTCCTAATGGGTGGTTGTTTGTGGCCCTCAGGGAGAGCTCCTCTGAACAACAACTCAATCCAAGTCATTAAGCAGAGGAACTTGAGGGCACATATGAGGTACATCTAAGGGGTCCACCCCGCAAACTAATGGAAATCACTTGGCCACAGTAGGCTGGAAGAACTTCGGAGGGAGACCAGAGCCTTCTCCTCTCTCCATGGAATCTGGAGAGCTAGCAAACAGTTGGCTATGGGAGTTAACATGGCGAACATTTACATACAATCTACTATTGTTTACTAGCCATGCAACTTAGCGCCTGGTTTCTCACACTGTCTCATTTAACTCTCAATGCAAAGGTAGATTTTACAATCTCAGTTTTGCAAAAGTGGAAACAGACACAATAAGGTTAAATGATATGTGTCGTATCTCAAGCTGACAAGTAGTGACTGGGAATTAAACACACTCTATCACCTCTCGAGGCTGCTGCCACCCTCACAGAGATTAATGAATTGCCCTCCATGTGACACCCACTCACCCCACCTCAGACAGTGTGTCCCTGTTTGCTCCTCTATGTTTGGCTTCATACCTTGGATCCCGTCTCCTCTTCATATTCTAAGACAATATTTGGTGATGTGTTTCTTCTGCCCTGGACTTTGGACTCAGCAGGACTGGACACAGCTCCTCGAGTGGGCTTGGTAGGATCTTCCAACAAAAGTCCTGGGAAGAGGTACTTCTTGACCTGGATCACCGGGACTTACTTCACTCAGTCCCCCCAACCCCTGATGCTGCACACCACTTTGAATGCCCCCTTCTAAATGGCATCTAATTAGGCAACTAATGTTTACAAAGAATTTAATATGTTGAATATCCCCGAAAAACTTTTCTACGGTGGGGCAGAAGATAGGGCTACTTGTTTAGGAGCCACAGACACCCCACAACTGCCATTTCCAGGCTAGTGTCTGCTGGGTGCAAGTCAGGGAGAGAACACTGGCAGGGTTCAACTCTGACCGACAACTTCAATCCTGTAGTCATGGAAAAACTGACATATGTCTCTAGGTCTTAGTTGACTCTCTCTGAGAAATGGGAATATTGATGCCCTTGCACTGCCAGGCTTCCACAGTTCTTACCACATCTTTTGCCACCCAAGTATATACTTGGGTATATACCTCACCCATAGAATGCCTCACCCATTCACTCAATGCCTATCTAAGAGGTTGAGTACCAGAGGGTATGATGAAGTTGTTCATGGAGCAAAGCATTTATTGGGGGTGACTTTGCTTTGTGTGGTTTAAAATATCATGTCCTGCCTCCTTTAAGTCCAAGAAGACTGCAAGAGGTAAGTGTGGATCTCGAAGAACATTGGTCTGGCGTGCGGAAAACATGAGGTTGAAGATTCAGCCCGCAAAGTGAGGTATAGTGGATGCACATTCTAGTCGAGAGGTTTAGAAAGACTATGGAAAGTGCACGGGATTTGCTGGGAATGCTCCATTCTGGCCCCACATGTGGTTCCCACAAGGGTGCTCTACCTCCTTCTCCCAGTCCATCCCTGGACTGCCAGCCACTCAGCAATTTTACTGATGGCACCTCCTAAAGTCAGAAGTCTCTGCTGCCAGAACTGGGGGTCAGGCCAATCGCTCAGCCTCCTTCTTTCCAGAGAAGCCAGAAGACTTGGTAATTTGCCCATCATAGAGATGGCTGAAATGCAAACTGTTAGTTTAGGCTCCTTAATCCATGAGAATGGACCCTCCCAGCTGTTACCTAAGCATGGTCTCAGGAGCATTTTGTGAATTTGCTCATGCTTCAGGGACCCTCATGGGAGGAAGCACTTTGAATCCTGGAATGTTTGTGAATGCCACCTTGGTTTTCCTAGAGTGATTAGCACTGAGAGCCTTATGGGTCACTGAGAGGGCTGGATTCTTCTGGCCAGCCAGGTCAGCTAGCTTTGAGGGAAAAGAAAGGGAACAGGGAGGGGTGGGGCAGACAACCACTGAAAGGCCAGGGGGAGGACTGGGTTTTTAAAGCCTACGAGGAAAGGGAAGAGAATTTGGCCAGGGAGAGAAGAGACTCTCAGGCCAGATCAAAGGCTGCCCTCCTTGGACTTTCCAGACAGGAGCATAGTTAAGAAAAAAACACAGCCAGGGGCGCCTGAATGGCTCAGTCTGTTAAGCATCGGACTCTTGATTTTAGCTCAGGTCATGATCTCACAGTTTGTGGGTTCAAACCCCACAGTGGGCTCTGTGCTGAGAGTATGGAGCCTGCTTGGGATTCTCTCTCTCTCTCTTTCTATGCCCCTGCCACATCCTCTCTCTCAAAATAAACTTTAAAAAAAACAATAACAAAAAACACAGCCAGAAAAAAACAAAAACAACAAAACAAAAACACAGCCAAACTTCTCCACCTTCACCTCTTCTAGCACACCCCACCCCATCCCCAAATGGCAAGTTCTTTCTAGACAAAAACTCTGCACTTGCCCTTAAATCAAGTTTAGTTGATCAACATGTTAAAAATGCAACACAAAACTCAGAACCACCTGCTTTTGAACCTCTGCCCCTCTCCAACAAATTTTAAATATAAGTTCAAGAAATAATTAATCAACCAAAGCCTTCTACCACAGTATCCCCTTCTGTTAGAGGCAATGTCTGGTAAATCAAGAAAAACGTGCCATTTACTCACTAAACTAAACACAATCCCTTATTATACAATTAACCAAAACACAATTGTATGTAATACAATTATACAGACTACAATTACACAAAAGTAATGATGCAGTATAGATGGTAATGACTTTCATGTAATCGAAAATAATGAGAGCGTCCTTGATTAGAAATTAAGGTATCATAAGAGATCCCTATTGATGAATGTTCCCTCTGTTGAACTACACTTTGCGAAAGGCTGTGCTGGCTGATGAAGTCGCATGCTTCCCCCTCATCGTTAATAAAGACTATCGGGGTGGCAACCATTCCGTGTAGTACCCTTTATTCTGAGATCGCTAAACTAGCACATTCTAATGAAGCACACATTTTATTACCCACTTATCCAGCTGGTCAAATAGAAAAAAAATGAAGCAGAAGAGCCAGGAAGTCTGTGTGATTTGTTGAGGATCCCATGTGTAGTGGTATTAACAGAGAAACATGCACATAAAACTCCATCAAATTATATTGGTCATTCGGAGCATCCGAGGAGACTACAACCTACAGAGCTGATTGCTGTGCCGCTGAGGAGAAACACCTGTTACTTCTCATCAGTGCCCCATGGATGGGGGTGGTTCCCTTCCTAGCTCCAGGCTGGTTCTCCATCCATCCATCCTTCTCCCTTTTTCCTGGGTACTCTTTCTTGTAAGCAAATCTGATACCTTCCTTCCTGATTGTCACTTAGCACACGGGGCCACGTTCCATGGGCACACAAATTTCTTCATAATTCCTAACGGCCCCAATCTCTAGCCATGTGCACACCATGTACTCCATCACAGTGACCTTCCATATCCACTGAGCTATGTTTTATTGACCCTAAGGCACTAGTCATTGTTAACATATACCCTTAGTTTATATGCCACTAAGAAAGACATGTTGCCAATTGAATGATGATGCGCCATGGATTATAAAATGCATCCCAATATTTAACAATGGAAAACAGGCACTTGGAACTGTTGAAATGCTTGCAAGCCATGATCTCTCCTATTTCTCTGCCACTCCCCATGCTACATCCAGAGGACCCATCGTACACCGGCACCCCTCATCACGCCTCAGCCAAGTCTACTCGTCCTTTAAAATTTAGCTCAGCACCAGGGCACGTGGGTGGCTCAGTCTATTGAGCGTCAGACTTGGGCTCAGGTCATGATCTCATGGTTCGTGAGTTTGAGACTCACATCAGGCTCACTGCTATCAGCGCAGAGCCTGATTCGGAGCCTCTGTCCTCTGCCCCCGCCTCCTCTGTCCCTCCCCTGCTGGTGCTCTTTCTCTTAAAAATAAACATTAAAAAAAAAAAAAAAAAGACTTAGCTAAGCACCTCTTCCTGAAAACCTTCTTGACCTCATTCTTCCCACGGCCAGGCTGAGCTGCGGCTGCCAGACGTCCCACAAATAAGGGTGCACTACTTGGGCATTTATTGCATTTTATCATAATGGCTCATTTATTCCATGATGGGACGTGAGCAGAGACCCTGTAACACCAACACATGGGCAAGCACTTCACACCTATTATTCACCCATTTGTTGAACGATATATCGACGAAGATGACTGTAACCACAAGAATGAAGGAGGTAAGTGCTAGAGATAAAACGTGGAGAGCACGCTAAGCCTGGCTGAAAACTCAGAACTGGTCCTCTTTAATTTTCCAAAGTGTGTCTTTGAAGCTAGAAATTTTAAATGTAAGAGGAGTTGGAGCCCGGAAGAAATAAAGAAAGAAACTGAACTTGTGCCGCATCTGTGGGTTGCACAGTATTAAATGCTGATTCTCTCCATGGGGGACCTGCTCTTTTCTGCGTCAAAGAAGCCATGGTTTGGAGGTGACGCCACAGGTCAGTGGCCCCAGGGGTCACCTCACCACTGGACCACACGAACCTCTGTTTTAGACCCTGAGGGCCTGATGTTCATCTGCCCCTGTTAGAAAGGATGCTCCCTGCTCTAAAGAATAAAATGGCTTAAGACCAAAGTAATCCCTCCCTCCTTTTTGCTTCACTCTTAACTTCAAAGTAATCAAATGTTGTTTATGCATACAATTTTAATCCTGTCACAAATTTGTATTTTGATTTAATTTGCATATCCCATTTACTGCAAGTCAACATGAAGAGAGACTCAACTAATTTAAACGATTTTTCTCTGGGCCTGAAATCCTTTCAGAAATATTTTCCATTAGGCAACTCAATTATGTCTAATGTGGCTAATGTCAGTGGATTAGAATTTTGCTTAAAGAAACTCATATTTAGAACAGTGAGAATGGGAAGGGGGTGGGAGAACAGAGGAGAAGAGACAATAATTACCTGTCTTTGATGCTACACAGATCAATGTGTAAATCACTAAAATTCCCCAGGGAACCTTGCTGAACTGAAATGAGGTCCTTGGACTGGTTATCAATAAAGATGAGCCTCATGCAGCCTTGGAAAGCCTTAATGGGATTTAAACATTGGGAATCGGTGAGATTGTCGGGGCACCCTGTGGGACAGAGAAAAAAAAATGAGGAAGAATACTGAAATGATCAGTCATTGCTTTGGCGACCTATTGATGGAGGACCTGGAGGTCTAATTGTTTTGGGGGCTTTTTCATTCACAGCAGTGCACACATGTTCGTTGGAAATCCTAGCATTCTCAAAGAAGGGACAGAATTGGTATAAAACGGGGCATACTCAATCGTTGTACGGAACAGAAAACAACATGCGTTAAAGGGAACACCGATACTGTAACATTCACCTGGTCCCTCTTTCTTTTCGCCTGTCGGTAAACTATCCAACCATCCAGTCGCATGGTGTATTTCACTCATCCCAAGAGGCAACATATTATAACTACTTGGGAGTTTGGGTTCTGTCTCGAAACACGCTCTAAATGCACAATTCAATTCTCAATTACACTTTCAAAGGAAATTATGGTTTGGGTAAGGATGGTGGCAGAGTAATCGTCTGGCTAATTGTTGGCATTAACAGGCTTAGTTCCCGAGAAAGGTACACAAGCAGGAACAGAACTGGAATTCTGAAGCGAGGCGCAAAGCAAACGCAGACGCCAAAGGAACTACGAGCTTAAATGGACCTAGTTATAGGGCTGTAATAGCACACTGAAAGGTTAACACCGTACCTCTTTAAAGGGTGTTCCTTAAAAAAACACTGCATTACGCTGATTTAGCATAGCTTGCGATCAGGGCACTTCTCATTAAGACAGGTACACGGCAATGTAGGTATATGAGCGCTTGTGCTCCATCCCGATGGGTTTTAATAGGTTCAGAGCATATGGGAATGCAAGCTTGAAAACATGGCAATAACCCATAAATAATTGGGAATTATTTCAGCCATTTCTAATAGACAGTCACTGCTGGGCTGATGCCCAGCAGCTGCTTAACAGCTCACAGGCACACCATAAAACGAAGAGAGATTCCTACAAGTTCTAATTGAAACTGTAGAGAGAATTTATGTAAGTTGACTATTATTGCTCAGGCTCATTTTTCACCTCCCTTAAGTTTATGGTCTACGTGTGGGGCGCTCGCTTAAATGCCGTTCAAATCGCAGATAAGTCTCGGCCTTGTAAACCCAGCGCCCCCTTAACTGGGGGGAAGCCAGACATTTCGTCTTTGAGGCATTCTGCATGCCGTAATCATCGAACATCACTTTCCTCAGAAACAAATACAAGAATGCTTTTCTCTCTTTGTTGATGAGACACTGCATGTGATGCAAGAATTATGCAGTCTGTGAAATGTATCTTAGGGTCCCCAAGACCCTTCTTCTGCTGCCTTTATGCTACGTTTGCTAGCATCCCTTTGCTGTCCCAATGCAGCAGGTTGCGGAGAACACAGACCTGGGGGAGGGTCCTGATTCTAACGTTTACACAAGTTATTTCATTTCAGCAAACAACAGTCTTACTGTCTGTGAAATGGGGCTACAATCGCCTACTTTACAAAGTTCCTGCACTAATTAAATGGCGTAAGACACATACGACATTTAGAGGCAAGGGAAGAGCTCCTTTCTTGTTGGAATCTGTTGTCCTTGCAGACGTGGGGATTTAGAGTGAAGGACAGAGGGTTTTGGTCGGGCCTTAAAAAATCAAACCACAACAGTATTGCTCTATGCTGCTTCCCTTCCAGGATACCTTGTTATGTACAATGCACTTATGCAAAGCCCCTTCTGGATTTCAAAACTTAACCGTGTGTCAGTGCCATGAGAGAAGTGATTTGCAAAGTCTATTTGAGAGACCGCACTTTGTAATTTTACACAAACACTTCCCTTCAGTTTCCTAATGGAGGAAGAATTAGCAACAGGAGAAGAGGCCCAGCCCATACACGTGTTTACAAAAGGCGCAGCCCGTGTGTCTATTTGCAAGCATGTAACCCTGACCCTGTTGAAGTTCTCCAGCAGTCTGGCTTTGTTTCTCCATGTCCTAGATAAGGAAGTTCAGGGACCATCAGGGTCTTCCTCAAGGTCAGACGGCTCTTTGACGTTACTCTCTAGAGACTGTTTCTATGATACAAACACATGACTAAAAAATTAGATACTAAGATTTTTAAGGAAAGAAATAACTTGGGGAAAAAAACTAAATAAAACTGCACATGCATCTATAAAAAGGTAGTGAATTCCTCATCATGTAGTTTTCATCCTTTCCAGGATGCCCCGTGTCTTTGTCATTGGGAATGTTTCTAGGATTCACCTGGAAATGGGGACAGCTGGGCCTGTGTCACCTGCTCCACTGGAGCTACAAGTTCACAGGACTTCTAGACCTTCCCCATTTTTAGAGCCCTACTCCACGGGCATGGCCTCCAGGGATGTCGGGAAGGAACAAACAGACGGGGGATTCAGACCGCAAAGCGGCAGAGTAGCCTATATGGCTGAGGATCCTGGCTGTGCCTTCCCTGCCTTCCCATCTGGATTTTTCCTTTCGCAGGTACTGCTGACTGTTGGTACACATCCTCCAAGTTTTCAGCTGACTTCCTCCTTCCCAACGTGATCATGGAGCTTGGCATGGCTACAAAAATCTCCTTTGGACATGTTACATAACACCAGCTCTTATAGCTAAAGTTTTTCTTTTTTTCTTTTTTTTCCCCTCTGCACTGACCTAGATAGTTTATATCTGCACAGCTGTCAGAAAGTTTGCTTCTCATTATTTTGTGCTTGGGATTGGGTACCTGTGTGTGTGTGTGTGTGTGTGCGTGCGAGCGTGTGTGTGTGAATGGTCTAATTGCCAAAAAAAAAAAAAAAAAAAAAAAAAAAAAAGGAATGATTAGAGCAAAATAATTGTCCATTGCATTCTCCCTCCATCCTTTATTTTTCAAAAGCTGGGGAACTTACCTCCAAAGTAGTAGCTATTTCCAGAATAAATCTGTACGCGAGTGGTGTCCTGGGCCGGGGATGCTGCATCATTATCCAGAGTAAGAGTGATGCGGTCCCTTCTGGCGGTGATGCTGACTGAATGCCACAAGCCATCATTCAAGCTGCTGCCTGCAAAAGCAACAGGGAAGGCAGTAGGGATGATTGACTGGGGAGATCTGGAGCCAGCGGGGCTCATCCTCCTCACCTGCCGGGCTCCGTGCTCCACGCGTGCTCTCAGCAGCCTCCCCGTGTCTCCTTTTGCTTAAACGAAACCCCCAGCAGACCCATAAGCCTCACCTTCCCTCCTCTCTTTACCATTTCACTTTTCTTTTTTTTTCAAAGTGGCTGAACAATGTCTGATACATTTGAGTTCAAAACAAAAGGGCAAAACACAAATTGGTCTGTATATTACACCTACAGGTGTTGCCAAATGAACTGACCTCTTGCTATAAATGCAAAGTAAAAGGTTGAAAGGAAAAAAACTTAAAAATGCCCATGCCTGGGTGGCTCCGTTGGTTCAGCATCTGACTCTTGATTTCCGCCCAGGTCGGGATCTCACGGTTTGTGAGTTCGAGCCCTGTGTCAGGATCTGTGCTGGTAACACAGAGCCTGCTTGGGATCTTCTCTCTCCCTCTCTCTTTCTGCCCTTCCCCTGCTCATTCTCTCTCTCTCTCTCTCAAAATATATAAACTTACAAAAAAATGCCCATGGTGATTTTATCTCTGTGTGGTAGGATTATAGGTGATTTGTTTTTCTCACATTTTCCTGCAAATGCCTTATGTTTCTTTTTTAGTAAGGGGCATGTGGGTGGCACAGTAGGTTCAGTGTCTGACTTTTGGTTTCAGCTCAGGTCATGATATCAGCCCTGTGTTCGAGCCCTGTGCCGGGCTCTGTGCTGGCAGCACAGAGCCTGCTTGGAATCCTCTCTCTATCTCTCTGCCCCTCCTCTGCTTGCACACCCTCTCTCCCTCAAAATAAATAAATAAAGTTAAAAATTTTTTAATTAAAAATAAACTATTTTTAAAGGCAAAAGTAGATGAGGAAAGCCAGATTCTAGTGATGTGCCAGGTGAAGGCCGTCTACCTTTGGAGACAGGTAATACACTAGCTCAATCTCAACATTTTTCCTTAACTAATTAGGTGACACTGGCTATTCCTACCTTCCCTGAAGTCTGGCTTTATTGTCTGCAAAGATCATAATTCCTACTCTGTGTCCTTGTTAAGAGGATCCATTGAGATCAGACAGGAAATGTCCTAGGACAGGTGGAGGCATCCTGAGTGTTTATTAAAAGGTAATTCTCTCAAGGGTGCCTGGATGGCTCAGTAGGTTGAGGGTCCAGCTCTCAATTTCAGCTCAGTTCATGATCGCAGGGTCACGGGATCAAACCCTGTTAGCCTCCCTGCTGAGTGTGGAGCCTGCTTAAGATTCTCTCTCTCTTCCTCTGCCCCTCCCCCACTTGTGCCCTCATTTTCTCTCTCTCTCTCTCTAAATAATAATGATAATTTTTTTTAAAAGGTAATTCCTATCTTGTTCTTTTGCCTCAGATGTCTTTGGTGCATAACTACCCTGCCAGCCTACCTTACTAAGAAAACTGTACTGGGAATTAGTCATGAAGATGGGAATAGTTTCTTTCTAAAAAAATCTATCAGCTATTAAGACTCTGTTGGTGCCAAGGGGCGCCTGGGTGGCGCAGTCGGTTAAGCGTCCGACTTCAGCCAGGTCACGATCTCGCGGTCCGTGAGTTCGAGCCCCGCGTCAGGCTCTGGGCTGATGGCTCGGAGCCTGGAGCCTGTTTCCGATTCTGTGTCTCCCTCTCTCTCTGCCCCTCCCCCGTTCATGCTCTGTCTCTCTCTGTCCCAAAAATAAATAAAAAAAAAAAACGTTGAAAAAAAAATTAAAAAAAAAAAAAAAAAAAAAACGTTGAAAAAAAAAATTAAAAAAAAAAAAAAAGACTCTGTTGGTGCCAAGTACTTGCTCGAGGAAACACAGTCTTATTCATCAGTCTGGTCACAAAGATGTGTCTGTGACAAAAGCACACAGTCACACGTCTCCACTCAGACATTTCTTGTGTCTTGCTATGTGCGGAGTTGTTTTCCTCCTCTTATTTCCTCAGTTTTCTCCCCTGCAACGTGGGGGAAATGACTTCTAGGCTGTTGTGATAATTATACAGTAGTCAATATGGTAGTGCATGTAGAACGGTCCATGTCGCATCATAAGCAGACAATGATGTTAGCTAAAACAAATGGACAGAAGAGCAACTATAAAATGGTCCCTGGCTTGTGAAGTATGGAGAGTACCATCACCATGTGATGGAGAGACATATCACATGATGTCTATAGGCTACCATTAAATGGAAGAGGCACGCAGTGAAGGTTACAATACTGTCCTCTGCAGGGCGCCTGGGTGGCTCAGTGGGTTAAGCGTCCAACTTGAGCTCAGGTAATGATCTCATGGTTTGTGAGTTCAAGCCCCACATCAGGCTCTCTATGGTCAGTGAGGAGCCTGCTTTAGGTCTTCTGTCTCCCTCTCTCCTGCTCTTCCCCAGCTTGCTGGAGTGGTACTATGGAAGCAGAGAAGAAAGAAAACCTAACTAATGGCATAGGAGGATCCCCGAAAGACTTCACAGCAGAGATGGTGACAGTTTAGGGAAGTTCTGAAAAGTGCAAAGAGTTCTCTACTCAGAGAGCAAGAGTCCAGGAGTCAAAGAGCCTGTACAAAAAAGCCAGGGTCTGCAATGAGAAGCGGGGGAGAACAAGAAGAAAGCCAGTGAGAAAGGATCCATTCACCCAGGGACCTGGCATGGAAAACTAAGGAATGGGTTTCCACAATTTCCTTGGATAAATGATTGTGTAAAGTGCTTTATTCAAGCCAATTCCATCAAAACCTTTGGGGATAGGACCCGAGGCATCTGCATTTAAAAAAATAAATGTTTATTTATTTATTTTGAGACACGGAGAGTGGGGGGAGAGGGGCAGAGAGAGGAGAGAGAGAGTGAGAGAGAGGGAAGGAGGGAGACAGAAAGAGTGAGAGAATCCCAAGCAGGCTCTGCGCTGTCAGCACACAGCCCACAGTGGGGCTTGATCTCTTGAACGGTGAGATCATGATCGGAGCTGAAATCAAGAGTTGGATGCTCAACAGACTGAGCCACCCAGGCGCCTTCCGTCTGCATTTTTTTAAAAGCTCCCTGGGTGACTCTAACGTGCTGTCAGGAATGGAAACCACTGCTTTAGAACAATGGGAGGCCATGAAGGGTCTTCAGCATGGGAATGACCTAGCTGGAGGTCCACTGTGCAAAGACTGGGTGGCAGAGGACCGCTGGGAGTCAAAGCAGGAAGCACAATGGGTGGGGCCTACTGCTTGCACTGGCCCCAGAAGACCAGATGATAAGGGTCTCAGTCAAAGTAGCAGCAGTGACAATGGAGAGCAAGGGACAGAGTAAGAGCTGTTTCTGGAGGTAAAAGAAATCAGACTTGGTAGAGCCTACTGGAGCAGGTCCTAAGAAACCAGCTGGAAAGCAAGCACTGAAAATCAGAGCAGAGGTCTGCAGGGCTTCTCAGAATAGCTACTGAAGCGCGTGTGCCCCTGAGCCCTCATAGGGTTGGAGAAGGTGCCCAGGGAGCAGCACAGCACAAGGCTGGGAGCCCAGCTGCACTGCACCAGGCAGCTGGGTCCCATCTGCTCACAACAGGCCAGATGCAAGGGACCCCCCCTGCATTTCCAGCCAGCTTCTTGGCAGCCTTGGCTGCGGCCCTGAACATCTGCTTGGGGTGAACCCAGGGGCTGCTCAACCTGGTGGCCGTACTTCCTCCCAAAAGCCAGAGTTTGGGTCCTAACCACGGGGACTCTGCTAATGAGGTAGGGGCTGTGTCACACGTTTCCCGGCGATGAACATTTGACTTCCGGCAGGGGCATTTGGGGGGCACGGCCAGCTGTGGGTCTTTACTTCTTTTTATTCTCATTTGCATACTGATTTAAATACATTTGTATAACACAGGAGACTGCATCTGCAGACAAACTATAGACTGTTTGAGCTGGAAGAGGCGTCAGTAACTAACCCAACTTAGAGGATGTAAATACCGCCCCCCCCCAGGGACCAGTGCCCTGCTCAGCATCAGGGCTCCAGTAAGAAGAGAACGGAGGCGTGCAGAGTGTCCTGCCTAATCAGAGATGCATCCTCTAGTCATTTCACAGATGACACTGGCCTGAGACAAGAGGTCTGACCTGTGGGAGTGGCAAGGCCAGAACACTGGCCTTTGTGTTCTGCTGCCTGGTCCCCTCCCCTTCCCACATCACTGTCCATATCGCTTTCTTCAACACTGTCACTTAATGAGGGTTTGCATGGTTGCTTGTCTTTTTTTTTTCCTTTCTTTCTTTCTTCTTCTCTTTTTTTCCCTCCCTTTTTGGTCTGCTTTTCCTTTTGGTTTGATCTTTTTGATCTTTTCCTCCATGGTCCCGAGTCCCTGTGTGAAATCTTCACTCTTCAGAGGAAAATTATGAGGACAGTGGTTCCTGAGGCTGACCACACAAAAGGCAGCACCTAGGGAGCTTCTGAAAAGACAGGTCCCTGGGCCCCACACCAGGTTAATTAAGGCAGGCTTCAGGGTGGCCCCAGGCCTTGGAAGGTTGTGCAGCCTGGGTTAGGAAACTACACCATCTGAGGTTTCAGAAGAGGAAGATGAAAAGAAGCCTGGAAAAACAAGGCTGGTTTTAGAGGAGCTGAGTTGGGAACAGATTCCAAGGCAAACGAAGTGACATATTCCCTTCTAAAAATCTGCTTTCTGCTGGGCCCTCCTTCCCACTTCATTCTGTTAATGGCTATATATGTAATATATATTTTTATAACCAAATAACACCCCTAGAAGTTCTCCAAGGTTTCGTTTCTAAGAATTCTTTTTTTAAAGGTACAGGTTTAAGTGCTATTAATTGTTCACAAATTGGGGAAAACCGATGCTGTCAGAGTGCTTTCCTCCCAAAACCTCCCTGAGGTGAAAGGTCTGAAAGAAGAAAAGTTTTCAATGGGGAGAATGAGAAAGTACCACCTTTGAGGCCAGGAACACCTCAATGGGGAAATGCTCCTGGAGGTAGAACAGGGTAATCAGGGCCACTTTAGGGTGGCCCCTGAAGGATTC